AAGGAACGATTGGCCATCGGTGATCGGTCCTGTGGGAACAATGCTCCGTCCTCTCGAGGACGCGTGGTCAATGGTCTAACCGCTAAGACATGCAAAACATAAAGAGTACGCTCCCCCCCCCCCTCCGCACCAGTATTATTGAGTGGGTGGGTGGGGTCAGTGGACACCCCTTGAGTCACCTCTCACCACCTTCATGACTTCTTATCTTGCAGCTGCCACTTTTTGGGGGTCTGTTCTTATCCGTAAGCGCTTTGGTACACCACATGTACGGGTTCTTGTTCTTGATACCACGTCGGAACTGAGCACATGTTTTATGGCCAAGTTCTTAAATTTTGAATTTTCGAGGCTGCATTTCTTAACTGCTACCGTTCTTAAGTGCGAGCGCCATCTATAGGTGTACGATTCCAGTTCCATTGCCGGCATTCAGACGGCAGAATAAATATGATGTCCAGGAAGTTCAACACAGAACGGTATTCGGCTAGTCGCATGGAGGTTGCGCTGCATCCTGGGTGTTCGACATCTTGTGCTTAACTTCCTTGCATACGGATGACAGCTGCGTACGACTTACTTATTTTCTGAAGTTTTCACTTCCAGAGACAGTTAAGGAGAACTGTATAACTGCTTCGAGGGTGCTTGACCTTTCAACACAACTTGGTGCGATCATCCCTATTGCGAGGATTGAGGGTTCTCGGCCCGGCACAACATTGTCTACGCGACCACCATTACGCTTTCCACGCAAAAAAACAATAAGGCAACAACGAGCGGCAACCTGGTTGTCGAGTTCACGAAGCGATCGGCGTGTTGTCCAACGTCGTTGCCAAGCGACGAAAACCCAACCCCACGTACGTGTGGCGGTACATAGGAGAAGAGGAGGGAGTCATTGCCGTTTTTCGCCGTGGTTGTGGTGAGCGTGGAAATTTGTGTTGCCTTTCGCGTTCGCTTTGTGTGTAGATATGAGGCTTCAAGGAGCACGAACGAGCCTTCCAAATCAATTGCGAGGCTACGCGGTGTGTTGCAACATTCCGGTTATACTGCCGTGCGTGGTGGCGGCGCTTGTTATTTCTAACTCTTCCGCGATCGGTCTTTTATTACCAACGCACGACTTCAACCATTGGTCTTGCTAATGTTCTGCAATTAGGACAGGCATATTCAATGGCAATATACATGTGTGGATGGGATAACGTACGTACGTATGTCAAAGTTCGGGCGATAGGGAAAGAGTTGGGTGTGGTTTGATACTTTATTTGGGGTATTTTTCGTTTTTCAGTTTTGGGGGCCGCAACCTTAAGTTTTTACATATTGTTACACTGATGATGGCCCTCCCGCCACATTTATTTTCTCTGATTACAACCATGTAGGGCCACACTTACGGCGTCGTCTGCAGGACACGTCAGGAGTTCGAATCCCGACTTGTGCACTTTCTTTATTTTCTGATTCGAAAAGACAAAAGAGAAAAGCACTTGTGCGTGAAAGGAGAAAACACACTCGCATGTAAAAATCCTAGCGAAAAAAGCATCCTCCCTACCGCCTGAAGAAAGTCGGCGACCCTACGTTGGTGGTCCTGGGGATTACTTCCCTCTAGGTTTCAGTGCTAGAGAGTGTTATAAGGTCCTGTCTCAGCCAGGTAAACGCTTAACCTTTTACCGGGTGGCTGAGTGGTCTACCTCATTAACATAGACAGGACCTTATGACACTCTCTAGCACTGAAGCCTAGCGGGAAGTGATCCCCAGGACCACCAACGTAGGGTCGCCGACTTTCTTCAGACGGTAGGGAGGATGCTTTCTCCGCTAGGAGTTTTTACATGCGCGTGTGTTTTCTCCTTTCCCGCACAAGTTCTTTTCTCTTTTTTCTTTTCGAATCAGAAAATAAAGGTGAAGAAGTCGGGATTCGAACTCCCGACATGTCCTGCAGACGGCGCCACTCAGCCACCCGGTAAAAGGTTGCAGTCGTGATTCGAACCCGCCAAGGAATGCGGGATAATACCCGCAAAGATCCTAAGGTATTCTAGCCGTTCTGTAGGAGTCAGTAATATACTAGGAGTAGATATCAATAGACCGGCTGATTCCCTCCGGCGAACACCACGCGCTGCCCGATGGTCGACGGCATTCCCCTTGAGGCATTACTCAATTCGTCTCTGTCGTTCGCGCTCTCGCTACAACGGAAGGGATTCTCGGCGCTCGTTCCGCACGTGTTGCGACATGTTCAGCACACCTGAACCTCGAAACGTACCCTACCAGGTGCCGACGTTATTCTGCAACATTCTGCCATGAGTCTCCGTGCCGTGATGTCTGGTATTATCTCACTTGATGTCCTCATGCGCTCTGTGCACCATGTGGAAAAACAAGGACGATTCAGCGAGGGGCGCCGGCGTCCATTGCTATGGCGTTCTGCACCAGCAAAGGGAGAGGTTCGAATGGTGCAAACCAACGGGAAAATACGGTCAGCTGGTGGGCGCGTTCGACGACGAGAAGGGACGGCTGAGTCCTTCTCAAGACAGATGAATATGGGCGAGCACCGCAAGAGCAAGGTTGGGGATCAGTGACCTGTTGTCTACCCCACACTTCCCTGCTGCCGCAACACGCTCACTCTAAAGAAGCCAGCAATTGGGAAATACTGACAGTCACCATGGTATACCTACAGGTAGGACGTGTTTGGCGTTGCACAGGACAAAAATCTGGCAAGGACAACGACAAAATAGCGGCCAAGCGCGAGGCATGCAAGGTATTCTAATTTTTCACATGACGCGCAAGGTTTACCACCAGCACAACCAGAGACAGAGCCCGGAAGAGTTCGGAAATCGAGTACCGCGTAGGGTCTCGTGACCCATAACCAAGCGATTGCCTGAGTATGCAAACCCACCAATCAATATTCTCACAAGCGCGCACCTCCCCTGGGCAGCACGCACTAAGATGCACTACCATGCCAAGGCCGGCGATGCATTGCAAACGCCGACACGTGCACCCGAAAACAAAACCAACTGCTTCTCGCCAAAGACCATCGTTTCGTCACCCACACAAAGTGCAGCAAACAGAGAAGTAATGCACTTACAGCCCGTGGGAACGGTGAAATCATCAAGACCTCTGGCGTGTAGTGATGTAACACAAAGAGGAGAGCAAAGTGAATTGTTCAGAGTCCTTCGATACTCTGTACCGCTGTAGTCTTGAACAGCGACGACCTACAAGGACACTTGTTTTGGGGAAGTTCCAACTGACTACAAGTACGCTAGCGCCTGCACACTGCTGTGCCCCAACACGGCTCCCGCCAGCTCCCTTGTCCCCTTGTCTGAACCTTGAGTGCAAGCCTGCAACCATCGCAAGAACTCCCCCTGCTGTCCCTGCACTGCGCCAGACGCGGCTCCGTCTTGCGATCTTTCCACGCCAGTGGCCACCGCAATCAGCACGGCCCTTCGAGAGAGGTTGGGCAAGAGAGGACAGAGAAGGGAGGGGGGACGAATAAGTGGATGTAATATCTCGCCAAAGGACGACAATAGCTACATGTAGGTCACACGGCCGGGAGGATTGCCTTCTTGAGCTACTCGACCGGAAATCCGTATTTTTTGCTGTTGTTGGTCTCGTTGGTTTCAGCGGCAGGCACGAACGAATATAGTTTCGAGATGGGCACGTTTTGCCTCTCGTCTCATGGCGTACAAACAACAGGCGATAAGCGCTTGAGGCTGATATCTCTTCACCCTGGTGAAGGTCCCAAGTGGCCCTCTTCATCACGTGACTGCAAGCGTTCCAAACGGATGCAACAGATACGATGCCTAACCTACCGGCGAAGCTCGCGGCTGTCGGAAGCAGGTCCCCGCAGCAGCCACGCCAGCCCCAGCAGGTCAGCCGCAAGCGCCGGCGTGGCCGGGCAGTTCCCGCACAACTCCACCAGGCAGGTCAAGCAGTGAAGCAGTCTCGCCGAGAAAATCGGGGATGGCGGCGGCGGCGGCGGCAGCGGCGTGGCACTCGGCAGCATGTAGGGAGCGTCATCAGCGGAGGCTGCCGCTGCAGCTGCTGCAATGGTTCGTCCGACCTCTTGGGAGCGTCGCTGGCCGTGGTTTGATGGGGCCGTGGTTGTCGACTCGCGCAAGCGGAGCACCATCCCCTGCACCGTCACGGATCCGGGAACCAAACCAAGACATGGAAAAACGCACAGCAGTGTTGGAGAGCGGTGAGAAGGAAGGCGTGGGAGTACCGGGGTACGAAGTGAGAGAGACGTGGGGCGGGGGTGGAAAGGCGGGCAGAACGCTCACCAAGCTCGGTAGGCACAGTTTCTTTTTGCCGCCATCCCTAGACCCACGGCACTTCCGGTTCACCCCCACAAAAATTCTGCAGAAATGCAATATTCAATCGAGATAACCCAGTCCTTCGCAGTTGCGTATGACGGCGAACAGTGTTGCCGGGTTCAAGGGGGACATGTCGATCCATCCGAAATTAGGCAATTAGGCTCTAAAACACCATACCGAAACAACTGCTGAAATCGGAATTGAGAGCTCAGTGGCAAACCTGGGCGAGAGGGTAGAAAAAGACCGGGGCAAGCCTGCCGAAAAGATTCCGCCGGAGCTGCTCTCTCGGCCCACGCCTGTACCCCCACCTCCTGGTGGTGCCGCCAACCGACACCACCCCTTCCCCTTTCGCCGCCCTCGAGCTTCCTCCGCCAGCGCCTTCACGCGTTTTCCCTTCGTTAGAGCCAGGCCTATCCCTGACACCTTGGTTCCGAGCGGAAGGGGCTGCAGCAACAGCTGAGGCGGAAAGCCCGTGCGTGGCCTTTGGCCCACGCTGTTGCTGACTGTGCAGCTGCTGCCGTCTGATGCTACCCTGGGGGGTCGCCCCCCTCGCCTCTTGTAGGAGGGCGGACGGGTAGCTGCCTCCGGACGAAGAGGGGTGTCCTCCATGCAAACCATCACTATCGTCCACACCACCGCCACCGCTGGGTCTCGTCCAGCCAGCCAGTTCGCTAGCGGCTTGCACCAGAACATCCAGGATCTGTGTTGCGGGTTTCAAGGGCAAAGAACGAGGCATGTAGCGGTGCTTGTTCAGCACATGATCGTTCGGTGCAAAGCCGCCGAGGGCGTTAAAATGGTGCGTCAAAAATATGACGGGGGTGAATGACAGGCGTGATGACGATCTTGTCACCCCACACGGAATAGAAAATGAGATCAGTGTAGCTTCAGGCGATAGCACAAGGAATTTTGGACAAGAATTTAGGTTGAGGCAAGGGCCTGCTTGGTGGCGGTAGCGGCTAAGGGAGACGACCAGCGCAGGCGCCGTAGACTACTTCCTTCTCGCTCTCAGCGAGAGTACGGGTTATTTTTCGAGGCAGTTTGATTCAGTCTGTTCGAAATAGGTGAACAAATTGAGGATGGGACGGCAGGTAAAGACTCAAGACGGCAAGTTGAGCCCGCTTTGCCGCAGCTGCCCTGCTACTGTCCGCCTTTCTCCCGACGGCAGGGGATATTGAAACCATGGTAAATGCCACAGGTCGGGGACACTTGACGGGTGCATGTCATCCGTGCTGTGACATACGCATATCGTTTCCGTTGGGTCTCTCGGAGGTAGCATTACGCCCCGCATTCGGCAAATGCCCTTTTTGGTGTCGGTGTCGGAGAGCGGGTCATTGGAAAGATCATACCGACGCCCTCTACAACTGTTAAATCGGGGAACCTGTACCAGCAACCTGCACACAAGCTCGTTGTTAGTAAACTTGATCGACTTCATAAGTCGCGAGGGAAGGGATTGCTGTACCCTTCTCGCAATAAAAACATCTCAGGCAGGAACCGCAGGAGGGGCTCCAACCCCCCCCTCCCATGTAACCCCGGTTGGGTCGTGTAGCTGGTAGAAGTGGAGGATAGGGGCCAGAGGGGCAGACGACAGAGTCCAATGATGAGAGAAAAACAACACTACACTGTTCTTAGGGGAGAAATGTTCCCGTTGTCTGCCCACAAACGAAGCCACCATCATTCACGTCGATTCGTGTTTTCGCTAGTGCTCATTGTTGTCTGTCGCGTACACCACCATGTGCGCATTGAACACAATATTCCACGCTCGCGATTGTCACTGACTACCTACGTGCACATGCCAAGGGCGGGTAGCTTAGCTCCCCTCCCAACACGAAGCGACAAAAAACACCTTTCTCTTACCTGCAGTTTCGTGCCCTCCGTTGCCCCACTTCCCCACACCTCACTCCCCAAGTAGAGGGCGCAGCTCTCTGGCGCAGCCGCCACCGTCGCCACAAGCGCTCCGGAACGGCGCGCCTCGAAACACTTGCGAGCATCGAGCGCAAGAATCCGGTGGTCTAGTTGGTAACTCCCAAACGCTCTCTAGCACCGACGGTATCGGTCCCCGCTCACTAGAAAGAAAGCTGCACAAGAAACCAGGCTCATGTGTGGAGACCGAGAGCCCAGTTCAACTCAATTTCCGTCAAAGAACAAATAGGCTAAATGCTTGACCTGCCCCCGAAGCCAAAAGCTTGACCTTCGCCCCAATATAAACGCAAGAATGAGCTTGATCTTAGTTCTAAGCAAGCTGATACGGCAGGGTGGCGCGAGATTGAGCGGCATCAACGACGGCAGCTAGACTGCGAGCGACATTCCAGAAATGGCACAACAAATACAAACAAGAGCAAAGCGCAATCGGAGCGGTTTCCAGGGGATGGGGCCCGTCAGAGCAGGGTAATCGAGGGGCGGACTACAACACGGTGGTGCCATTTTGATGACGGTTGCCAAGTTTGCCGCACGGAGAAGCTGTTTCGTCAAAAATAGCAGTAAAAATATCGTTCGCCTTAAACACCGCCGCCAAATGACACCGAGTACCGCTCAATGCCTCTGGGCCCGATGGTAACCCAATTACATGCTACCCGAGTGCGGTCGCACGCTATCGGAGTGATGCTGAATGCTATTGATTGCAACATTGCCTCCGATGCATTTTGCCGTACTTGTACCTCAAGGTCGAAGGAGTCCTCCAGGTAAAGAAGGTCCCTCGAGAGCTCAGGCGCTCGGTGCGCCAAGTCGGGCGGGTTGCGCCGCACGAGCTTCTCGGCGCACCTGAGGGCCGTCTCGTGCTGATCCGCTGTGTCCGGTTTTTCCCGCGAACGCAGCACTGCAGGGTCGGCAAGAAGAGGTATACGCCATAAAAGAACGGTTGGAGGCAATGTGAAAAGGCAAAGACTTGGAAGCAAATATGCGATTGCGGTAAGATCTCCGTCGCACGGTGCGCACGGGAGGAAGGGACGGATATGACGCAGCGGGTGAGCGCATCAATTATTCTGCTGCGAGGCTGTCGGCACGTTTGTCCCCGTAGCTTGGCAACATGCTGAGGGAGGAAAACGCAACACTGTCAGAAAAAGGTCAGAAACAAATGGAAGGAGAAGGACAGAGAAATCTAACGGCGAAAATCGGCGGTCGATCACACCTGGCCCATCGCCAGCCGAAAACACAGGAGTGCTGGAAAGCAGGGAACCAATAAAACCAACCGGTGTCGGGCGGCAGAGGCTAGAATAGCACAGGGCAGAAACAACGAATACATTGACGACAACGGCAACCAAGAGCCAAGCAAACAATCGCTGCTCTCGTCCATCAGAAAACGCCGACTCAAGTGCGTGACACCACACGACTCACTCTCGATGAGCTGGTCGAGATACACCGGCTCCGCGACCTTGGCGAGATCGTCCTGATCGTCCCAGAGATCGTACGCCTCGAGGTCATCGTCGTCGTCATCGCCCAACCCGAATCCGCCACCACCTAGGAGGTCGCCCCCGTAGCCCTCTCCTTCCGTGTCCGTGGACGGACCACTACTAGTTGATCCGCTCTCCTGCTCACTATCCTTGGCGTCGTTCCCGCCTCCGACCTGAGACAGACGTCGAGGGTCAAGTTAGCACTTATTCTCGTGGTAAAAAAGCCCTCAGGGAAGCGTCAACAACAATAGCAGCATCATCATGAACGAGCAATCGATCGCACAACAACACACTAGCACCGTACGCACGTTGGTATCCTCGGAGTCTGAGCCGCCACCAGCGCCACCCAGCGGTAGCAGCATGTCGGGATCCAAGTCCGAGTCGTCTTCGCCATCGTTTATGTCCACCACTTGACCACCCCCTCCCCCAAAACTCGCTGGTAAGCTTTGCCAGTGCCGCCTTCGCTTCTCTTCCGCGTCAAGCGCCGCGCTTCGCCCGTGCGACCCTCTCCTACTCTTCTTCTTTTTGCCCCTTGGCCTCTCTCGTACCGTGTCTGCGGTCCCGTCCGTGCTATTCCCGCCCTTCGTGCCCTCGTTGCGACTTCTACTTTCCTGTTTCCCAGCCGATGTTTCTCCCTGCCCCTCGCCCCGCGGCTCCTTCCGTCGCTGCTCCTCCCTCTCCCCATCTAGCTCGTCGAAACGCAGTTCTGTTCCCCCAAGGGCCGCTACCGCCTCTCCTACGCGCATGCCCCGTAGCCTTGTCTCTCTGACCGGGACGTCAAGGTGCGACCCAACCCCTCTGATGAGGATCACGAGAGCGTCCTGGTCGCCGTTGACGCCGCCGCCCAGCTGCCCGTCTAAGCCGCCGCTGCGTTTCCGAAATGACACGGTAATAAGTCACGACCGGTCGATGGCCAAAAAGAAAGAACGAAAACCATAGATACATCAATCGCACACCCTTCCCCTTCCCGTGCGTAGCTTCATTGCCGAAGGAATTCCAACCATTGCTACTGGAAGGAACTCTCAACAGGAATCTACCACCGCGAGCCTAAGCGTGATGCCAGCCACTATAACACCAACACATATACGCACCCTGAAGGGGGTGCTAGTCTAACCTCTGAAAAAAAAATTCAACCTGTGCGCTTTTCCGCCGATTTACCACCCCAGGGTGCCCCTTCAAAACCGCCACGCACCTGTGAAGAGCAGCCAACAAAAATCTGGTGTAGAACTCCTGTTGCCGAGGCGGAGACCTATTGAGGAATGACGGCTCCGCCCACACGGCCCCCACTCTCTTCAGGGCGCCCATCAGGAGCCCCCGGCCCGCGACTGCCTCACTCTCTCGGCCGCTGCCCTCGCTCGTAGCGGCTCCAAACCTCGCTGCTGCCCCGGCCGTGTAGGTCGAGCGGCGATCGCACCACGCCAGGGTGTCGGCGATAGCCTCAGCCGCGGGAGCAGGGAGCGGTCTCTGCAGCAGCAGCCTCTCCACGAGGCCGACGGACATGTCCGCCGTCGACTCGTCGTCGCCGTCATCGTCGCTATCGCCTTGCTGTTGCCTTTTCTGCAGAACTGAGGATGACGCCGAAAACGACGATACACCAGTGCACCCGCCGCCGTTTTCTTCTCCGATTCCTGGCCGCCGCCGCCCGGGACCCTCCTCGTGCGGTAATCTCGGGACGCGTCGCCCCGAGAGAAGAGGCCGGCCGATCAGGACCCGGCAAGCGGCCGCCGGAAATCCGGCCGGCCAGTGACCCGAAGGCTGCTGCTGCTGCTGGTACTGCTGCCACCGAGTTTGATCGCGGCCACCGCGCCCATCGTAGGGCCACAAGGCCCTCAACAGGGCCTCCGTGAAAGACTTCCGCCTTGACGCCAGCAGTCTTGTCATCATCCACGCGTGCGCTTCCGGAACGACGCCGGGCCCTTCCGCCCAGGCCTCCCACGCCGTTACGTCGGCCTCCTCCGTCGCCGGTGTGCCGCCGGTGGCGTCGTTGCCGCCGCTGCCGCCGATGGGATCGTCTTCTTTCCCCGCCACCATCGCCTGGAGCCACGCTTCAGCGAGATCGGACGCCCGGCCGGCGGTCAGCAGGCGGCCCGTAAACTCCCGCCACACGTCACCCGTCGCTGTTGCATTTGCCGCCGCTGTCGCTGTCGTTCTCGTTGCCGCTAACGAGCGGGCGTTGAGAGTCGCGCGGACGACGGCGCGACACACCGCCGGAAAAAAGACCGCGGGGGAAAAGTCCGGCGGAGCGATCGGCCCGAGGCTATTCGCGACCCGCTGCGGCGCGAGGCAGAGCGCCGACGCGAGCGTCTCGCCTGCGCCGCCGCCGACCAAAGGAGCAGGACCTCGAACGGCCTCAGCATGGTATCGCTCTCTCCGGAGATCTTCGTCTGCCCTCTTGGTTTCGCTGCATTCGCCTTCGTAGACGTAAATGCCACCGGCGAGATCCTCCACTACCTCGACGAGAAGGGGAACTGGCTCACGGCTGTGTAGCGGCATCGGCGGTCGTTGCGCCGAAGGTTGCCTGAGGAAAGGCTGCAAAAGCCGACAAATCTGTTGAGTTGCTCGAGCGTCCGGCGCTGGGGCGGCCTCTACCAGCACTCCTGCCTGGCCACCCATGCTACTCCTGTCGAGGGTACCGTCAAGCCACAACGTTGGCCGCTGGCTGGTGGCGATTCTATCTGGCGCCTGCCTGCTGAGCCCCTCGCAGAGCGCAAGGAGCGCAAGCGACGGCGGCACGGCCGGCGGCCGGAAGAAAGCCTCGAACAAGTCCCTAGGGGCAGGGCTCCACATGCCGGTGCTGTTGCCGGCGTCCTCTCGAGTGACCGCAGCAGCAGTGCTCTCAACGGCGGCACTGCTGTTGTCATTTCCTTGAGTTGCAACAAGGTTGGTCGATGCCGTCCTGTCCCAGACGGGCAGCCAGAGCGGCCCAACTTCTCTCAGCAAGAAAGCCGCAAACGGCAGGTAGGAAGACTCCAAGAAGGCGGTCCTCAACGCCATCCTATCCTTAGCGCTGCCTTCGGCACTGGCAACATGGCCTCTGTCGTCGCCTGCAACGGAAGCGATCAATGGGCACGCAGAACCAGCACCAGCACTAGTAAGAGGAAGATGCGCGGCAGGAGATAGCGAGCCGAGGCACGCGCGCATCGTTGCGGGTGATCCACCTTGGAAGTGCAACGACATGTCGCGTGGGAGGACAACGCTTCCATATGTACACAGCTCCGACCGTACACCGATGTCGGTGGATACCACCCACCCCCCTCCCCGCCCGCCCCGGTGTTTTGCCATCGGGGTTGGGTTTTCGTCGCTTGGCAACGACG